ATAGATAGATAGATAGATAGATAGATAGATAGATTGATAGATAGATAGATAGATAGATAGACAGATGGAATCGCACCAGCAGCACACTGTCCGTTTGCGGGGGCTATTCGAACATGATAAGCGAACGTTTTTGAGAAATCAACTTCCAATTATAGTATTGCCCACCAAAATGATACATTCATCGATAAGCTTGTAAGAAACGATGGTGTATTTTTAAGGCTGCGGCAAAATGAGTATCGTTTTGAGCGATTCCATTTTTTACCAAATTTGTAGCAATATGGACACAAACACGCACAAAATGAAACAGTGCAATTGCTTGGTTTTTTGACGAAATCTGTTCACTCCACTTAAAAACTACTCGCAAAGATATCAGCTCATTATAAGAGGGATGATCGTATTGAATAAAGCAACAATTGTCGGCGGTAGTAAATCGAGGAGTGGATCACTGGGGAAGATTTTGAAACACATTTTCGTTTATCAAGCTCTTCTGAAACATTTTCGTCTACTTTGGTCTGCATTTAGACCCAGCTGTTGTCCTGTACACAATTCCGGACGTTGTATCCTTCGAATAAACTTCAACTATTTTGTGGTAAACAAAAGATTTTTACAATTAAACATGGTGTTACTGCATCGGTTCATGAAACAGAGGTACGACGGAAAAGTTCAGTATTCGCCTACTCATCCCGAAATTTATTGGCAGATTGCGTGCGCTTTGATTGTCTAGGGTGCAACTACTTATTAGTTGGACAGTTGAGGATACGCTACAGCGAAATGAGGAAAGCACTACTCCACCGAAGAACGCTGGACATGTTTGAATTTGTAAATCTGAACTGGCGAACTCGTTCGCACTTGAGTGATGTGACCAGTTTACCCGACTACTTAAACGACGATCCAGTAACTGACTTGAATTTGTTGATCGGTTGGGCCGATCTAAGTGCGCTCGAGGAATATTCGACGTATGCTGTAGCGTGAACACGTTCGCCTGTTCAAATGTTAGATTTGGATGCGTCCAACTTGCGTTGGTGGGGTAGTGGTAACACGCCCGACTCGCATGTCAGCCGTCCGGAAGTCAAGCCCCAGCGCGGCCAAGAATATGCACTGTTGATGAGCTCCAATGACAGTGAAAATCCAGCTCACTGCGTGCATCATTTAGTGTAGATTCTCCAGAACGATTGCCAGAAGAGGAGGAGGGGCTTGAAGTGAACTAGAACTCTACAAGTCCCGCAATCGCTTGCTAATAAACTCTACAATCACATCCGAAATCCAAGCCTAATTTATGTTATTTATGGGGATCTCGACAACGGTCGTGAGCAAGTTTACGATTGATCAGTGGGATTTTCACAATCAGTCATGTTCTGTGACCAATCTGTCGTAGAGCGTGATTCAAGAATCCAGTTAGCATTCACTTCTAGGATTAACAGTTGTAATTCACCAAACTACAACACATTCCCTCAAAGACGTTAGCTGAAAAGTTTGCTTTCAGCGATCAGTTGTTAACGAGTAATACAGTCCGGAAATTGTGCACTTGAATATCCCTGTAAGTAAAGCTTTATGGTTTCGTAGCTTGGTCATCGACCCAGCCATACACTCACGATGTCGCCTTGAGTGACAACAAAACGTTTGCGACCCAATTGTCGGAGCTTACAAAACAGATCAGCAAATACCTGACTAACAACTGATCATGAGCTATGGAAGAAATTTCAGCAACCTTATCGGTGGTGTGCTCCGTCAATCATCCAGCTAATTTAGCTGGTTCTGTTGTCCTGTGTAAAGTATGTGATTCAATAAGTAGAAAAAAGTGAGCAGCCGAATAAATAAACATTGAGATGGTGCTATCTTCAAAGGCATTCGCTATATCTTTCAGTCAGCTCGACAATGTACGCTTGACAGGGTACATATATTCAAAATATTGAGTTGATGAGCGGGCTGAAGAGTTAGTCGGCATTATGTGGGTTTGTCAGTGGACGTAAAACTGACGAGCGACTGTGAAACTATGTCTGTTCTACCTGACTGGTGCAGCAATTGGATCTAGCTGCATACTAAGCGCGAAATCTGTCACTGTTTTTGCAAGAACAGCAAACAAGTTCATAAGAAGCAGAAAGAAATACCACGTCAACGGTTTATTTTCGCCGACCAATCGGGCATACTTTTATGGCCATTACGACTACGAGTAACATTATAAATGACTGTAAATGCAGCTTATTTGTTTAGTTTGATTCCACTGATTACTGGCAGCCTGTTGAGTGTTGAGCGTCTTCATCACCACTTATAAGGACCAACTGTTATTGTAAAAGTAATTTATTATACGTGACTATGGGCTGTTTGCATTTCAATATCCACCAGCTTGTAAGACCGGTTTAAAGTTGGACGACTTTCCTTTAGTCTTTCTCATTTGGTATATCACTGTATTCGTTTCTGAATGGTGTGTCCGTACATCAGATAAGCTGTCAC